TCAAGCGAAGACGCTGGCCCAAACCTAACGAATAACCAGGTTCACCACCCAATGACTAACTAAAAAGTGAGTTGCCTTCTAGCCGCGATTAAAGGGAAGTACATGACATGTTGTGACGAATACTCTACGCATACTGTTCAAACGTACCCTGCTACTTAAATTCATTCCTTAATTAAGGCAATGTTACGTGTTCTGCTTAGGTGGTTGGTGTTTTAATTTGCTTGTGATTAGCATAGTTTGGGTTTTATTCAAGGCCAAGGTTTTTTCTCAAGTCGCGCTCTTTTTCTCCTTGGTAGTCTGCTTTTGGGAGAGTGCGGCACCTTTAGGTTTTGCTTGCTTTGCTTTTAATGTACCACATCCAAATTCCCGGGCTTTTCAGAATAATTTTAATTTAATTTAATTTTTTAATTTATTATCCCTCTCTTGTTTTGGGCCCTCAACAGGCATGCGCCCAATTACAGAGTGACCCGCATAATGCTATTTATAATATTTATAATAAATAAACTCGCAGACATTACAGCGTTTTATTTGAGTTCCTGCCCGACTGGGTCCCGAGTCATTGTATTAGCTTCGTGTAACGTAAGGGGGCCCTACCTTAGACGATCCAATCACGTGCCATTCTTTTGTTCGAAATTTGTGCGGGAACCGTGTTTTGATACTGGGATTGCAACGTTGCCACTTTGCCGTGAAATCTGTCATCTTCACTACGAGCCTGGGGTGGGTTAAGATCAGTACCATTTTTCTAATAAAAATTTTTAATCTTTTGAATCAATAGTGAATTTTTTAAGTTTTTGTTGTATTTTTGAGAATAGAATCCAATATATGCCATCTTCTGGAGGTTCGTATCCGCTTCGATGTAGTTAATTCCCCTACCAAAAAACCTCTTATTTTTTATTTCTTTTTAAGTTCTTTTATTTGGTACAAATGAGCAAAAAAGGTCATTTCCTTTAAATGTCGGTTGTCATCCGACTGCACACATAATTAATAGCGTTTTAATAAAATTGTTAATCGCTAAACTAGAGTAAAACCATTCAGAAACAACACTAGTATAATATATCGAATCTCAATTCAAAACACAGAAATAAATAATGAAATATTGACATAAATGTCATCCAAAATTCAAAATTCTTTGGCGTTGAAAACACTCCCTGGCAACTTTTTATGTTAAAATGCTAAAATGGTCAATGAACAGCTGAACACTATCACAACTATTATATTGACTTTAACTCTTCAAAAATTGCAATTAAAAAATCACGCGAAATCGGTATGATCTTACTAAGCTTTTATTTTAATAGGCAACCCGAGTACATCAGTCCCCAAGGTACGATCATGAAATTAATAAAAATGGATAAAGGGCACCTTCATTAAATGTGTTTAACAAAAAAATTTGCGGAAGAAGCCCAAAATTTTCCACAATCGTAATTAAAAGTTCACGTCATTTCGTCGAAATCTGGTGTTATGTTACTTATATTGCGTCACTTTTAAGTTGGTGAAACCGGAAAATCTGAAGTGACAGCTTTCATTATTCATTTAATAAAGGTGACACCACTTTTGAAGCCCACACAGTCTAAACTGGAATATCTTAGGGAAGAAGAATGTCGTAGAGAAGGTTACATGTTGCATCTGGCAAAGATCAAGTTCTCGGTATCGATCACCAATAGGGGAAACCCGGGCACTTCCTGCATGCTTCATATACCAATTCGTTCGTATCAACCGCCGATTAACTTCCAACGCCGTTTTCATATCAATCGCTGCTTAGCATCCACCGCCTTATACAGAAGAGAGGGGAAGGAATATCCTCTTGCATCTTCCATAGTTCGCCTCTTTGTTAGCAACTACCGATTAACTTGGAACACCTTTTCCTATAGAAAACTACTTACTGTTATTGTAGTATATAATTAAATACAATTAGAATAGTTGTACATCATAACGTTTATTAAATCGTGGAAATATAATAACATCATATCTTATAGCTGTTAAGATAACTAGGTGTTTTATAGGTACCTTAAAGGACGATATCCATTTAAATCCGAGCGTCCCAAGGGAGCGAGGTTTTAACGGGCAGAGATCTGTAATGAAGCACCCGGAATTTCTGATTGGAGTTTGCCGTTTGTGAGGACCACCCTGTATAATAATGATTGGTTTGGGCTTCGTTACATAGAAAACCGTAATTTCGAGAACTTTCCGCGATGCCATGAAGACAAGGGGATATCATAATTAATTAGTCCGCCTACGACCGTTCCTGTTGGAATTATTTTTGTAACCACCGAAGGGTCTTGTCCTAGAGAAGATGAAGGACAATTAATATTTTTTGGTTTCGGCGCCGTTAATTGCTTATGGGCCGTTTTAGTTCCCCATAAAATCAAGGATAGAACAAGTTCCGAAGCGAGTTGTTTTGTTCGTTATCAGTTGGCGGCGTGCCTGCAAAAATTTGATAAGCGCCAGCCGACTCTGTAACCGAAAACTTACAATTAATATAAAGTTAATGAATGTAACGAGTTTTTTGAGTATGTATAATTAGCATACACTAATTAAATGAGGTACAACACAGATATAAGTATATGTGTGGTTACAGTAAAGGAGTACCTATCGAGGAGATTTTGGTGTCAAATTGTTCGCGCTTAATTAACGAATCGATTGCCAGATGTTTGGGAATTTTAGCACGAACAGGAACAAGAGCCGAGTAATTAATTAAAAATCGAATTGATTGGCTTCGATTTCGTCTTGAATACGCGACGAGTTAGATTTTCCCTGTTCCACTGCTACTAAATTGAGTTTTCTTTATAAGGTAAACGCTCAATTTTGGAAGGATCTATCTTTTTGCGTTCTACTTGCCGTAAGTAAGTCCGTAATATCTTTTGCCATTTTTAGGTGCCGTAAGTAAGTTAGATATTTTGGCTGTTTTGTTTTTTTACCGTCAGTTAATCTGAATCGTTTTCATTTTAATTACCGTTTTATTTAGTTTTGGCCTTAAGCTTAACTTACCGTTTCTTTTACTTAGCTTTGCACCGTTTTGCCGCTTCAATAGCCAGCCGTTATTAAGGAAAATTGCCGTCAGGACCGTAGGCAGACCTGACCGCAGAATTCCTTAAATTAACATCTCCGATTGAGACCACCTCCGAGACTATCGAAACCGACCGTCCTTCCGCGATTACCGCCGACCACGTCCAGGCGCGAGATTTCTTCTGGTGGCCCTCGAGTCCGGCCGTTCGCCCGTCCCCTCTACCGCCGTTTCGTCGACTACTTGCACTAATTGTTTTTATTTCCTCAAGCGCACCGGCTATGCGCGAGCAGCCCAAGCAGCAGTTCTTTAAACTATAAAACGCCGTGTTATCTTCAAGATTTTTATAACACTGAAGCATATTTTATCCGAATTCGTATTTTATTAATATTTTATCACGAGAGAAAAATGTTTCTCAAGACTGGCGTAGGTACTAACCATGGTAATAGAATCAACAACATTAGGTACGAAAAATTAAGCAGCGTACTTGAAGTAGTGTATAAAGGACGTTGCCATTGACAACGTACTTTATAAGAAACAATGAATTAACAAACGAGTTTAGGTAAATGAATCTTAGGAACGGTTTAAAATGTCAGTGTTATAAAAAGAAATTAAAGTTGGCACTCCGGAATGTTAAGAGCACTATTATCAAATTAAACGTAAGCATGAAATTTAGAGTAATATAACCTCACTTTCGATGAAATGAAGTGAAATTTTAATTACGTTGTGGAAAATTTGGGGCTTCTTCCGCAAATTTTATTGGTCCTCTATCCATTTTATTAGTTTCATGATCGTACCTGGAAAGCTTATTAACGTCACGTAACCGGCAACCCATTTGCAATGTGTTTGTTTACATATTAAGTTTGGTAAAAAATGTATTTCACTCGGTAAACAGATGGGCAAAGATTGACCTTATGTAGGATCTTAGACCACAAGCAATATATTACATGCGCAAAGTCATAAAACGTGATTATTAGTAATATTGGATATTTGAAGTTTTGAGTTAATTTTAAATTTCAAACTTTCAAGGATAAAAACTTTCTGATTCGGCGCTAAAGGATCAATAATCGGTCTTCTAAATATTTGGCCCAAGTATTTTGACCCTCCCCAAGAATAATCCCTGCGGAAAATTCACTTTCGAAAGCTCGTCCTTAAGTAGAACGTGTTATCTGCACAATATTTACCCATCCGCAACGACAACCGTACAAAACATAGGGATGTACACAAAAATGAGCACAATCTGTGTCCATTAGGGTTGCGGTTAAGACCTGTCAACTTAACTTACCTTTCGTATTCAGAATAAAATGTCGCCATTGCTAAGTAAAACAAAATTGTGTAAATTTATTCCGCTCGATAAATATTTTAACTCATACTGCAGTAATGAGCACGAGGAAAATTGTCTAGTACTTTTCTACGGCGGTGATTGTAACCGAATCACCCTTATCCAATCGACTAAAATTTTTGTTGGAAATTCAAGTGCGCTTTGAGCACACTATATCGCCTTACAGCTTATATGACTTTCAAAACTTTTGAAAGCGATGAGTTTGCAACACCTATTTGCTAAAGCTACCATATAGTGTTTCGTCCCCTATCCATTTTATTTAAACCGCAATTTATATTCACATAAAATCGAGACATAAAAATGACTCATTCGCAACCATAAACTTGATTTAGACAAAATAAGGAAGTAAAAGTGGGCCGTTCGCTACATTCCTAACAAACCTTTTTTTTTTGTAAAAGATTGCAAATCGGAAACAATTTCTAAAACCTTTATTTCGCAAATGTCTACATTTTGTTTACACTTAAATGCAATGAAATTATCTTCGCATTTTTTGAGCGAATTGGCCTTAAACAGTCGAATGTGAAGTGAGTGGTATTGTACAATTATCGTGGTGCATGTATGGTATTACCTTCAATTTAAGTAATAGTAAGAATTAAAGTAAGGAGTTTGGGTGTGGTCGATGTTATTATTAAAGGTATTTGAATATTTGCGCTATATAATAAATTAGAAAAATTTGTCAACCACGAAGGCCGATGCTGAGTATAAGTATAGGGGTTTCTCGTTCACTAGCATTGTAGTCGATCACCAACCGTCTAATCAACAACCATGAACGCTTTGGTAAGTTAATATCTTAACAATTCGGAGAATTATATTGATGTTATGTAGACCATCGCCGTATTCGCCTGCTTGGCCATCTGCGCCTATGCAAAACCCAGCGGAGTCTACGCAGGACATGGTCACGCACTCGCTCACGCCGTCAACGTAGTCCCAGCTGGACCAACAACTTTGATTGGAGCTTCTGGTGTAGTTGGACCTCATGGAGCATCCGGACCCACCGGTAGCGTTAACGGACATGGCGCTATTGGACCAAATGGTGAACACAATGCACCCGCTCATCACGGTGCCATTATTGCTGCACCCGCTGTTGTAGCGGCGCCCGCCGTTGTTGCTGCGCCAGGATTCGTCGGTGGTCACGGTCTCGGCTATGGTCTTGGATATGGACACGGAATCGGTCTTGGCTATGGGCATGGTATTGGTTATGGACATGGTATCGGTTATGGACACGGTATCGGTCTTGGATACGGACATGGTGGTTACTGGCATTAGAATTTTACTTGTCAAAATTGATTATCGAACAAATGCTCATTTTTCTCACTTCTTCTTATCTTACACTGTAAATACCCCATGTAAAATATTTATTTGAAACACAATAAAGTAAATAAGTATCCTATAAATATATAGCGTGATAAATCTCAATTAACATTTTGCGCTCCATAAGAAAGTAAGAGTGTAATTAACTGTTCCGCTTCATTTGAGTGACATGCGAAACCTTAATAATTCCATTAGTACTCGCAATAATAAGATTACAACAATTTACTTAATTTCGAACAAACCACACCCCTCCAAAGCTGTTTTTGCGGATAGAATTGAACTTTGCTAAGTATCACCTGTTGTCTTAGTCAAGGCCTTCATTTCGTAATAGGTATATTACCTATTTCAAATTGTGCAAATCAACACGAAATGATATAGAGAAATCAATATCAAGAGTTAAATTGCTTGGTTTTTCAATATTATAATTCTAAAAGCTTTAAATAATATAAACATTTTTCACACTGTGTCCAAGATAAGGAGGTCTATCACGGGGATCTCGGAAACCATAGAAGACACGATGCCATCATCGTGTCTTCTATGATTAGGGGCAATCCGGCTTCATTTTTTATTTCTGATCTACAAACAACATTAAAAATAACAAGTTAAAAAGTAATCGTAAACGATTTACATAAAGCGCATTTCCACTTGCATTCATTTCCCATTTGTAAGATGCAACTTCTGTTAAAATCGTAAAAATCCGGCCACAAATATGAAAGATAGCGTTGCACATGGGCAATCCATTGTTGACGTGCTACTTCAATTTCAGTTTATGAGAAGAATTTCATTTCAATGCTTTTCTAAATAAGAAAGTTGGAACTGCGCATGCGCAAACCTAAATTTTAAAACTAATTTACTATAACTAACTAATAAACTAAGATTTTCCTTTGTTCCAAGCGCCTAAGTATCAAATTTCACTTAAATAGTTCCATAGATAAAAAAGTTGGCACGGCGCATGCGCAAAATAAAATTTTGAAACTGGCGCTAGATTTTCCTTTATTCCAAGTGCCTATGTATCAAATTTCGTTTAAATTCTTCCATAAATAAAAAAGTTGGCACTGCGCATGCGCAAAACCAAATTTTGAAATTGGCGTTTGATTTTCCTTTATCCCAAGTGCCTATGTATCAAATTTCGTTTAAATTCTTCCATAAATAAAAAAGTTGGCACTGCGCATGCGCAAAACCAAATTTTGAAATTGGCGTTTGATTTTCCTTTATCCCAAGTGCCTATGTATCAAATTTCGTTTAAATTCTTCCATAAATAAAAAAGTTGGCACTGCGCATGCGCAAAACCAAATTTTGAAATTGGCGTTTGATTTTCCTTTATTCCAAGTGCCTATGTATCAAATTTCGTTTAAATTCTTCCATAAATAAAAAAGTTTGCACTGCGCATGCGCAAAACCAAATTTTGAAATTGGCGTTTGATTTCCCTTTATTCCGAAGTGCTTATGTATCAAATTTCGTTAAATTCTTCCATAATAAAAAAAAAGTTGGCACTGACAATGCGCAAAACCAAATTTTGAAATTGGCGTTTGATTTTCCTTTATCCCAAGTGCCTATGTATCAAATTTCGTTTAATTCTTCCATAAATAAAAAAGTTGGCACTGCGCATGCGCAAAACCAAATTTTGAAATTGGCGTTTGATTTTCCTTTATTCCAAGTGCCTATGTATCAAATTTCATTCAAATACTTTTATAAGTAAAAAAGTTTGCAATTCGGTTTATAAATGGTCGAGATGCGAAAAGGGCACTGTGAATTTTGAATCGATTCGATTCAACTTTTGGCATTGCGTATTATATGGCTAAATCTATGCCCATATTGAATTTCATGCAATTCAGTTCATAACTAACGGAGATGTAAAAGCGATCGAACATTTCTAAACAAAGTTATCGTTCACACGGACAGATAGATGGACAGACAGACAAAGGAACAGACGGAGAGACCAACCGGCAGGCGACAGATAGCAATGCAAAATTATAAACGATCTCTAGGATCGTTAATAAACGGCAAAAGTGTAAAATTATGGAACATGTAAAAAACGGTTTTTTGTTTTTTTTACAATAACTTTTTTTGTAAGCGGTACAGAAAAAATTCCTTCCTTGGTACAAGACTCGACACCATAACGAACCAAATAGCGAAAAAAGTAGAACAATAGCTCTTAAGATAAAAAACTAGTAGCGTCGCAAAACGAGCGGACGGACGGACGGACGGACGGACAAAGTGGCCACAATAGCGCATTTTTTTTTTATTTTTGTGGAAATGCGCTAAAAACGATCGTTGTGACGTCATCCCGACAAATCGGTCGGTGGCGCGCTATAGCAATATATGGATTCGATGACGTTTGACATGTTAATTTGAGACTGGTAGTCAGTGATCTGCATTATTTTCAAAAATGCTTAACTTTGTGTTTTCCGCTGCAACAATAATGCCAATGTTACATTGCAAATTTTCCCCGAGAAAAGAAGGAGCCGTGTCGAAATAAAGTCTGGAAAAGTAGAAAAAACCGCTGAATGATAGATAGTCACGTCGTTTGCAGTGCCCACTTTAAAGATGATAATTTTTTGTGGAAGATACAAGAAGAAAAGGACCTTGTGCCTCAGCATAAAGTTTTGAGAAGGCTAACAAGTAACAATACTGCAATCCCTTCTTTACTTACATCTCACAAGAAACAAAGGTCCTAATAAAGCTACAAAACGTCAGTCAACTTATCTAAGAAAGTAAAATTGTGCCTAATTGCTTATTGTGGGTAAACGATCAACTTCGTAGTGGAGAAACCAGTTCAACATCAAACATATGCCACCATCAAACAGAAGAACTGAATCAAATGGAACCAATACCGCTAACTGAAAGCATAGGTATCCAATCTCAGCTGGGTACAGAAATTTAGTACAAATATTCAAATTTATATGAGTATATATGTTCGGATAATCCTTCAGTAAGGTTTTCTTGTTTTTTTCAAAGGAAAGCGAACTAGAATATGAAAGAACTGACGCGTTTGGACTGCTTGGATCCGTGCCGCCGCAGCTACGATGTCGGGATGACGTCACATGTTCTGTTTTTCAAACTTTCATCGTTAATAATTTGAAAACTACTCATCGTAGAAAACTCCGGTTTGAAATTTTGTTCTTAGATTTTCTTCTACATTTTTTTTTGATTTTGGGTATACTACCCCTTTAAGGACTACCCTAAAATATGGTTACTTACATTAGACACATGGAATAAAGGAAAATCAAACGCCAGTTTCAAAATTTGGTTTTGCGCATGCGCAGTGCCA